GGGGAGAGGGGCCCAAAAATAGTTTTTGAAGAAGCTTCCCAGGGAATTCTGGTGTGACTTGATCCCAGACCTCAATTTTGGGAACACCTCAGTGGAGATCTGGTTCAAAAAAAGTGCTTTGATTATCAACCGTTTCCCAGACTTTTCCTCTTAGACTCCATGACAGTGGGGACTTGAGGAGGTACCAGGGAAATTCAACAGTTCTCTCACATGCTGAGGCTGTTGTCAAACTAGGGGCCAGAGAAAATGAGGCAGTACCAAGAGAATCATTTTTGCATTGTGAAAGCCATAGGGGACAAGGACAGATACTGCTGAAATTCAGTGAATAATCACTAAAAGCACGTCACTGTATTGACTGTGAAATACTTTGGGCTGTGATTCTGGAATCTTTCAATCTTACACTGGTCAGTGAAGCATCAGATGGTGTTCAGAGGCTGCTGCTGTTCTTGCTGTGAGGATGGCTTGGAGAGGACGGCTTGTGAGGATGGGCCTTTGGCTTTTCATAGCTAAGTGAGTTCAGCTAGAAGCTTTTAGCTAATAAGCAACTTTCACATGTGTTCATTTAAGTACATAGATTCCTGATTCCATTGTATCAGTTACAGAGTGACTCATTTACTACTAATGGACGCATACTTTATTTGGTGTTGAACCTGTTGATAAGGATAGTTGAACTGGGCTCAATTTTAGTATTTTCTCTGGTATTTTATATAACTTTCTTTTATTTGAAAATTTGTGGGTTTTTTTGTTGTTTGGTAGTGATACTAGAGACTGAAACCAGAACCTTTACGCTAAGCTACATCTCGGCTTTTGGTTTTTGTTTGTTTGTTTGCTTTTCAATATTTTGGGGGGGGTGGTTGAGACAGGGTCTCACTATGTAGTTGAGACTGACCTGGAACTCACTATGTAGCCCAGGCTGGTCTCAAACTCACAGCGATCCTCCTGCCTCAGTCTCCCGTTTGCTGGGATTACAGGTGAGCGCCACCATGCCTGGCTTGCTTTTTAATTTTCTCTGGGTCTTACTGAGTTGCCCAGGCTGGCTCAAACTTGGAATCTTCCTGCCTCAGCCTATCAAAATTCTAGGATTTCAGGTGTCTGCCACTATGCCCAGCTTGATTACCTTTTTAAAAAAATTATTGATTAGTTTGGTACCAGGGTTCAAACTCAGGTTCGTGTGCTTCTGAGGCAGGCGCAGAATCACTGAGCTAAATCCCCAGTCCTTTGATTACCTTTTGAATAAACTTTTAATGCTAAATTATAGTTATTAAAATGCAAATGAAGTATATTAAAAGACCATTAGTATCTTACTTCCTTTTTAATATAATAAATCCATAAATCTGAAAGCCCTTTGGGGGAAGTTCAGCAGGAGTTTTTGAAATTTAAGGTTTTAGTACAAACAGTGTAACTCTCTAAAAATCTCCCTCTTCAGCAATGACGGGTCATGGGGGATCTTCCTTGTCTTGTTACAAGCCCTGTTTGGATATCTCAGCTATTTTAAAATGAGTAAAAGTTCCACATGTTCATGCTGGACTTCATTATATTGTTTCTCTTAGAATGTGTTATATCAAATTGGTGCTTCTGCAGTGCCCAGTACCACCTCAATGCTGGTAGTTTTGAGCTGAATCCCCCCCCCACTGGGGATTGAACTCAGGACCTTCGTTTGGCTTGCGAGGCAGACGTGGTGCCACAGAGCTAAATCTCCGGCCCTTGAGCTGAATACTTAATAAAGAAAGTCTAAAAATTCACAGATAATACTTGAAGGTATGTAAAGGTTTTCAATATGTGAAGAATTGAGTAAGTATGGGACAACTTATTTGATAGTTACGATTTTAAAAAACTAAGCTTTTCTGGACATGGTGGTGGCATGCCTATAATGCCAGCACTTAGGAGTCTGAGGCAAGAAGATGCTGCTAGTGGGAGCCAGGCTAGAACTATGTAGTGAGTTCAAAGCCAGCATAAACTATGTAGTGAGACCTTGTCTTAAAAAAAAAAATTAAGTTTTCTGTATAGTTGTTGATTTTATGCAGGTTTTTGTTTTGTTTTGTTTTAAGCTGGTATCAGGGGTTGAACTCAGGACTTTGAGTTTGCAAGGCAGGTGTGGTGCCACTGAGCTAAATCCCTGGCCAGATTTTCTGCAGTTTCAAAAGAGACTATTTTATGTACTTCTGAGGTGGTTTTCCATTTTGTTGGAATATGGTTTGTTACAGTACTGCTTTAGAGTTCACACTTCCACTTCCCTAAATCCCATGATGAATAAGAGTAAATGGGTGTTGAAAAAAAAAAAAGTCAATACAAACAGAGTTTTGTGGGTTTTTTTTGTTTGGTTGGTTGGTTTTTTTTTTTTTTTGGTTTTTTGAGACAGGGTCTCACTATGTAGTTGAGACTGACCTGGAACTTACTAGTAGTCCAGGCTGGTGGCGAACTCACAGTGATCCTCCTGCCTCAGCCTCCTGAGTGCTGGGATTACAGGCATGTGCCACCATGCCTGGCCAATACAAATAGAGTTTAAAATTTCTTGAATGATAACATTGATGCATAACAGTATGTTCCAATAGAACTGTGTAAAAGGCAGATGTGTTTATAGAGCAGTTAAAAAATATTAGGGACTGTACCTTAAGCATCCCATTAAAGATTCAGAGGAAGTTAAACAATGAAAATCAGTGTTCAGCCAGATGAGAAATTTCATAAGAACAAACAATGCATATTTTTGCTGTTTCCTGAGAATTTTTGTGTTTCGTTATAAACAGCCTTATAGCCGGCAGAAAGTCATAGGGGAGATACAAGCGTTGATGGGGTTACGGGCTCCAGCTAGACGCTTTCCACATGCCAGCCAAGTGACCTTTACCAGCTGGTCCCTTTGCCTCGTCTGGTTTGTGGATAAAAAAGGATAATATTAGAGCCTGGTTTGTAGGGTTGTTATAGAAATAGGTTAATATAAAAAGATGCTACCTAGGAGATAGGCGATGTACTTGAGCTAACCTTCTAATTTTTTCTTAAATTTCTTCATGTAGCCCCAAGGCATCAACCTGAAGACAGTGTAGTGATGAGTTGCCAGTATGCAAAGGAACTTTAATTTTTCCCCTACTTATAATTTGCTAGGTTTTTGCTTACATGTGTACTGTATTTGTTGACATACTGAAGATGGGTATATAATTTTAAAGCAACCAAGCTTTAAATAAACTTTTTTCCTTTCTTTTTTTTTTGGTACCGGGGATTGAACTTGGGTCCTTGAACATTTTTTTGCAGGCAGCAACACCACTGAGCTAAATAAATCCTTGGCCCTCCTGAACATTTTTAAATTGGAGAAAAAATAGTGGACACCTAGCTTAATTTTAGTTTTATATAAAAAATACACTGGTGCTTTAGTGAACTACAAATTCAGTAGTAGTACAAATTAAAACATTCAGAAATCATACTACCATATCTCTGTTTTAGCCTACATGGAAGGAAGCATGTGCTGGAGTCCACACAGCCCCAGCAGACCGGACCTCTTCCAGGGAGACATGGAGGGAGCTCAGGAGTTAAAGATCAAGGACGGCAAATGTATTGTGACACTAATATTTTCTCACATAATTACCAGACTGGATATACGACTTGTAGATGGTGACTCTTACTAGAAGTACTGAACCTGCTGCTAGGACCCTGTCCCCAAGTAGTAGGCTAGGTTAGACCCTCTCTTAAGGCAGGACTATAGAATTGAGATTTTTATACTAATACTAAGATTATATAATAAATTTTATGTTAAATCTATACTCTCCAAAGACACATTTTCAGTGATAGTGATCTGCTTCTTGAATTTGAAATAATACCTTTACTAAGTTTATTCATTCAATAAACACTCCCTGGTACTTTGTGTATATCAGAGTCTATGATTCCCAGGAGGCCTCAGCACAGATGACAGATATGATTCTTTCACTTGTGGTGTTTCAAACTGATCTGAAGGACATGATACCTCTCCAAAGACACATTTTCAGTGATAGTGATCTGCTTCTTGAATTTGAAATAATACCTTTACTAAGTTTATTCATTCAATAAACACTCCCTGGTACTTTGTGTATATCAGAGTCTATGATTCCCAGGAGGCCTCAGCACAGATGACAGATATGATTCTTTCACTTGTGGTGTTTCAAACTGATCTGAAGGACATGATACCACTCATACAGATAAGAAAGGAAAAAATATTGTGGTACCCCATTTAGTTATGGTTTATTTTACTTCTGGGTGGCCTATAGTTTTCTGGGGTTTTTTGGTACCGGTGACCTAACTTGGGACCTTGCCCTTGCAAGTCTGGCCACAGAACCACTGAGATAAATCCCCGGCCCTATAGTTTTCTTGCTTATTGACAAAAACAGGAAATATCTCACTCAAAAATTAGCATTTACAGTGTGAAAATTATTCACAATTACTGAGTGAAGATATCTGAGTGTCCTCATTTACAAAACAGATGAGGTATTTCCGTTGCTCTTGAGTGAATGTAATAATTGCAGTAGGAGCCTTGGATGTTTGCTGCTCAGCTCACCTCCTTCCACCCACAAATACCATTTCTTGTTTCACCAAGAAGTGAAGGGAGTTGGAAACTGGAGAGAGTCATCTTTCCTTCCTGCCGCTGCCTGCTCCAGTCACTCCTGTCTCAACTTCCAAGTTCATCAGCACCATTTCCCAGCTTTTCATACCAAACCTCTTGGGAGGGTTATACACACTGAACACCTCTCTTATTCAGAGCTTAACTCTAGCCACAGGCCTGCACATCTCACATGGTCACCCCTGACCTAGGAGCCAAACACTTTTGGGTCCTCTCTGATTTGAGCTCTGGCCTCAATATAGGACCCCTTGGAAATCTCCTGTCTGGATGTCTTTGTTTCTGGTGCTGGGGGTTGAATCCAGGGACTTACATGTAATATGCATTTGTTGTAACACCTGAGCTACACCTTTGACCCATCCCTTTCCTACTCTTGGCTATATGGTGAGCTTCTGTGCTAACTCCAGAGCCCCATCTTACCTTAATTAATCTACAGTGACTCTTTTTCTAAATAAGTCACATCTCTCCGTTTTGGGAACCAGGATTTCCTATTTTTTAAGGGGGGACACAGTTCAACCCAGAATGCATACAAATTGATATAATCTTTCTAGAGGGCATTAACACATGATTTGTTAAGATCCTTTAACATTTCTCCCGTATGTTGCTGAGATTCTATTTTGTGATTCATATTTAGAAATAATAAAATATGTCCAAAAATTTAAGGGTAAAAGTGCATACAGGAGGGGTGGGGAATTTGTCTCAGTGGTGCTGGGCCTACCTTGTTATTGCAAGGTCCTGAGTTTGATCCACAGTACCAAAAAATGTGTATATAGGTGAATGATATTCATGAAAAATCAGTAAGAAAGTAACAGAAGAATGGTGACATAATGACATATTAAACCAGGATAGGAAATATAATATCATTAATAATTATATGATCATATTTTGTTTAAACAATATAAATAGATTTTTTAATATACCCAGAAAAAGATGGGACAATAAGCAAAAAATGTTAGTAGCAGTTGCCCATGAGTGTGGGACTGAAAGTTATTTTATAGTGGTACCTCATTGAACGTAACCATTGAATTTGATTTGGTTCTCGTCCAACTTGGATTACATGCAGAATTGTGGAAAGAATCAAGTTTGTGAGTCAAGGTGCCACTAAAGTTTTTTTTTTTCTGGTTTTTCTAAACTTTTCTGATGAACTTGTAGTTAAAAATTACAGAAAAATTGTGCAGTATTACTTTGAGTTCAAACTATTAGTACTTGGAAATGTTCAAACTTAAGTAATTAGGGGGAGATGGATGGCTGAATCCTGTAGGCATGTTTTAGTCCAGCTGTTTAATACATGTAATACGGATTTGTACAAGGTTATAAAGATCATTTGTAGAGCAATGCAAATGATACCTCTGTGGCCATTTTCTTCAGGACTTTTTAAGTTTAGTTAGTTCCTAAGCTATTCTGAGAAATATCAAAATGAGCTACAACTAACCAGTTGGTCAGGGTCCTGGTAGTGGTGCATTATTTTCTTGTATGTTCTATGGGGGAAAGTATCAGATAATTGATTTTTTAAAAAATTGTCCAGTTTAACTGTTTTATTCTTTAAATTTCCCTTACTTTTAGGTTAAAAATTTTGCAGTTATTTATCTTGTGGATATTACCGAAGTACCCGACTTCAACAAAATGTACGAGTTATATGATCCGTGTACTGTCATGTTTTTCTTCAGGTATGCCTTCATTGTTATTTAAATGGAATATTCTTGGCTTAGAAGTTGGAGGTAATTGGGGCAGAGTCTGTTATTTAGGAGGAAATAGTTATGCAGCCTTATCACAAGGCAGTTTGTATCACAAGGCAATCAATATCTTTTAAATTATTTTCAAAATCATAATTCCAGTTATAGTATTTACTGAGTAACCAATTACTTTTTTGAAATAACTGACCCAAAACTTGAGGAAAGTATAATGAAATGGAAGATACTCTTAACCGACATTTAAGATATCCTTAAATACATTCTATTGATGAAAAATGTTTTAAAATCATTTATTAAATATTGGGCCAGGTATTTAGCTCAGTGGCTCTGGCCACCTACCTTGCAAGCACAAGGACCCAAGTTCGATCCCTGGCACCAAAAAAAAAAAGTATTAAAAATGACATTAAGGGCCAGGGATTTAGCTCAGTGGCATAGTGCCTGCCTCACAAGTGCAAGGTCCCGAGTTTGATCCCTAGTACCAAAAAAAAAAATTAAAAAATGACATCAGTAATTTCCTGTCCATTGAGTGTAGTGGCACATACCTATAATCCTAGCATTCCAAGAGGCTGAGGCAGGAGGATCATTGAATTTGAGGCAATCCTGGGGCTGCATTGAGTTCAAGGTTTTGACTACATTGTGAGACCCTGTCTCGAAAAATCAAAAGGAAAAAAACTTGGTGTCCTTTTCTAAGACGCCTGAATTGAACTTAGGAACTAGGTTCCTAAGACACCTTAACTAAGGAAAACCTGAATTTAATTACTTTTGTCTATAAATACAATATTTTATGAGCTCAAAATTCTATTGTAAAGATTTAATTTGGAAAGCAGTCACCATTTGATATTATTATCAAAATTTGTTACTGTACTTACTATAGAAGTTGGTAAATAGCAGTATGAGCATTTAGCCTTCCTCCAAAAATAAAGCTTCATAATTGTAAGAAAGGTCTCAGTGGGTTGTATAGGTGTATATTAGTTTTATATTCTGCATGAATTTAGCAGCATACATCAGTGCCTGTTTATGAGCTCAGTTCTCTGGATACATGCTGTCCTTTATAATCAGCTGCATTCTTTGTTCAGGGTCTAACAAACCAAAATTGTGGAGTGAATGCTTATCTCGAGGGCCTGGAGAAGAGTTCACTTTGGCCCGTTCAAGTTATTGGCAGAATCCAGGTCCTTCTGGTTATGTAACTGAGGTCTGTTGTTTCCTTGCTGCTGTCGTCTTGGGGCCACTGTGCTTTTAGAGTTTCCTTCATCTTCACATTCAGCATCAGTTGAATTGTTGAGTCTTTTTCATACAAGTATCTCTGTCTTCCAGTTCTACCTCTGCTTTTAGAAGGTTAAAATGATTTGATTAGACTCACCCAAATGATCCAAGAGAATCTTATTTTAAAATCCACTTACTTTAAGCCTGAATCCTATCTAAAATTGCCTTTGCAATGCGATGTTGCAGAATCACAGACATGAAACCTTATCATATTCATAGAATTTTTGGGAGCATTTTAGGATTTTGCCTGCTGAAGTCTGCCCTCTGGCTCACCTCACCATGGTTACTGAGGAACCCATCTCAGAATAGAATCAGTTCCAAAGGTCAAAATCTCATTGTCCAGGTCATCTTAACCATATGAGCCCACATTTCCTGAGCACCGTTTCTTTTTCCCGGTGGACCTATGAAGCTCAGAGACAAGTGAGGCCCTCTATCCTCAACACGGCTGGGCCAGGTGTAGTGGCACACACTTATAATTCCAGCACTCTGGATGCTGAGGCAGGAGGATTACCACAAGTTCAAGGTCAGCCTGAGTTACGTAGTGAGACCATCTCAAAAAAGTGAGAAGGGAGCAGGGAAGCTCTCATCCAAGGTTGGGCAGACTCCTTAGTTAGCATTGCCTGAGATTATGCTCATCGCTCCATGTTCTACCCTTGGAGTGGTTCTGCGTAAGTCCTTTTTTCCTGATCAGTGTTTGTGGCTGGAGAGTTTTTCACTCTGCTTCATGAACCTGCACTGGGGCCATCACCTTCTCTGCCTGCTCCTCTTTGTCCCTCACATTTGTAGGACAGGTAAACCCAATGAGGGAGAATGCCTGTAGGCTTCCATATGCTTCCTCTTTGGTTGACAAAGCTCATGAGGAACAGCCTTCATTGCTGGTGACTGAGTGCACTGACCTGTGATCTTTCTTGGTTTTTAGCGGTATGGCCTATATGGCCTCATTCTCGTCATTTTCCTGCGGAGCCATTGCTGCATTTCAGCATCTTGTCATCTGGAGAGGAGTTACTCCTGTTAACAGTTCTTATATCAGTTTATCTCTTTCCTCTCATTTTACTGTAAATAGCAAGAAGAAACCAGACAGCACCTTCAAGACTTTGCTTGGGCCTGGTATGGTAGCACATGCCTATAATCGCAGCACTTGGCTGAGGCATGAAGATCACTGTGCTACATAGTGACTTCAAGGCCAGCCTGCACTACAAAGCAGGATACTATCTAAAAAAAAAAGACTTTGCTTGGGAATTTCCTTGGCTAAATATCCAAGCTCACTGCTTACAAGTTCTGCATTTCACCCAACTGTAGGACACAATGTGCCTGTTATCCCCACTAGGTAACAAGGATCCTCCTTCCTGTATTTGAGTAACAAGTTCTTTCTTCATGTGGTTCAGGGATATCCATCTTGGGGACTAGAGATGCTATGATGGATAAGGAATTTCAGGAACAACCTTGGGTTGGTGGCAGGGACGTTCTTTGTATATTTTGTGATTTTTAGGATTGATGGCATATTCAGAAAAGGAGGTTAAACTTCTTTCTGCTGTTTCTGTGACCCCAAATTCTAGAACAAACAGCAAGAGTACTTTAGTCAGTTTGTGCACCAAATGTGCCAGGTTTCAGTCTAGTGCTGAGACATTGTGTCAGACCAGGTTCTGTAAACCTACCTTGATAGAAGAAATAGTGAAGTGAATGAGCAAATGGAAATGCTAGGTGATGGATTATGGAGTTAGAAGTATGGAAGAAGTGAGTCTGAATCAAGGCTTCAACTGTGCACAAGGGACCAGACCACCCATGCTCAGTTTAGATGAGGTTGGTTCATTCACTGAGTGGGAAGCATGGGCACAGAATGCAAGCCACAAAGAGCGCAGTGCAGCATAAAACGGGGGTGAGAAGAAGTAAGGGTTCACAGGCCAGTGAGAGGCCCTGAGATGTTATCCTTGAAGCAAATGCTTGATGTAGAAGAGTGACATCAGATTAGCCTTGTAAAGCTGTTCATGAAAGGTAGCCAAGCCAGAAACCTCACATTGAGCACTTTCATGGTCTAAGACTGAAGCCAAATGTTTGACCCTATAGAAATGACAAGTTAAACTAATAAAAAATCAGTCCTCAACAAACCAGAAAAAAAAAATCATGGGGGTTAACATCTGTATTTTGGAAAATGCAAATATAAATTTTTAAGAAAAAGTTTAGCGTTTCAAAACATACGTATTTAAAGGTACATTTAC